GAGGTCTCCAGGCCCAGTGAGAAGACACATAAAAAGCTTGTCCTACCTGAAAACTACTTTTGTGATAAAATTTAAAAGGAAATATTGACTGAATTGGCTTGAGATTTTCCCTGCTCTCACTAATAGCAACAACCTGTGGGAGAAGGAAAAGTCTCCATGTCTGGTCCACTGAACATCTTAATCCCCTGCTGATGTTGACAGCTCATGACTTCCACAGAAATTTTTCTCTTAGTTCATGGATAGCTCCCTCCATTCCCATTTCAGATAATTGAGATGTTTTGGTTGCAAATAACTTTGCTTATACTCACAGGACCAAGTAATTGCTGAAGACAATGATTTACAAAGCTGCTCATAAAAACTCAGTTGTGGTGTTGCCAGATGCCTGCTCAGACAGTTTGTGCATCCTTTCTGTAATGAGTCAGGAGGCAACCAGCGCTCCTGATTTATGTAGCCCTTCCAATCTGGGCTGGGACAGCTGCAAACAGCTGTGTGTTTTATCACCTTTTGCCAGAATTTTCTGTAGATGTATCTCCCAGGTCTGTAGGGAAGAGTTGGCCAGTAACTGTTATTACAATGGCACTTTGTCCATCTCAAAACTAGAAAAAGATCCTTTGAGAAAATGAAGGCTGCCTGCCACAGTACCTGCTTTTGCTGGCTTGGATCAAAATGCTCATTCTCCCTTCTGTTCCTGCTCTAGGTCAAGGGCTTCTTTAGCACTGGGGTCATCACTTACTGATGTGCAATCAAGGTTTAGATGAGGTTTAGGAGGAAATATTTTACAGTGAGGTTGAGTTCTTGGCACAGGGTGCCAGAGAAGCTGTGGCTGCCCCTGGATCCCTGGAAGTGTCCAAGGCCAGGCTGGACAGAGCTTGGAGCAACCTGGGATAGTGAAAATTGTCCCTGCCATGGCTTTGGTTACAATGCCAGCTCAACTCATTGACTTCAGCTCAAAGCAGCCATTTTCTTGTCTTTTATTGCTTTGGTGGTAGAATTACTCCATCCAGACCACATGCTGAGAGAACTAATTTCCATGGGCCTCTTCTGCTGTGAGCAGCTGAAATATGAAGATCCAAGGCTTCAAGCCAGGTTTTGATTTCTGTTGAGCTGGCATGAATGGAACCACTCCAGTTTTAACAAGCATAACTAGAGCCAGGGAGGACTTGGGCCTCCTCAGAGCAAACTTCCGAGATTCATACTAGAAAACAAAGGTCTGACACAGCTCCCTGTTACCTTCTGGGTTTGAATGGCTCAGAATATTTTGAAAACTTTTGTGATTTTTGAAATCACAAAAAAACAGGTTTGTTTCTAAACTTTGCAAATACAAGGGAGATTTACTGCCATGAAAAATAAAAAGCCTTATGGTATAACAGCTTCACTTGAAGTTCTCAGGGTAATGATGGACATGATAAATGACACTTTTTTAGGGAAATAGCATTACCTCATGGGCTAAACTTAATTAAAACCAGCAATACTGCTGCATATCTTACTTGAGGAAATGAGAAGGAACCTGGCTAACTTTCACCACCAATTTTTGTCATACCTTCTGATGTAGACAGCTGGCCTTGAGTTCATCATCACAAAGTAGCAGACTCAGACTTGGGGGTGTCCCATAAGGAATATCAGCCTGTAACTTCATGGCATAACGTATGGGCTGTTGAGAAAGCTGACAGAACAGAGCTTGGATTTTTCACAGGTCATTTCCCCATAGGGGAAGGTTTTGGAGCTGTGACTGTTATTTCAGAACCCTTCTTCCTGGTCATGCTCAACACAGAGCTCATTTATTTTTTTGGGTTGTGCATTGGGTTGGCAGAGTATATCTTGGAGCAAATGCTGTTTCCAAAGTGGAGGTCATGATCTTGGAAGTGCAAGTGGAAATGGGGTCATGGGAAAAGCCGAGAATTGTTGGAATGTGGTGAAAGCAAATAATCTATAGATGTCTATGCTGTCAGCAGCCACAAAAATGGCTCCTTGAGGAATTCAGATGGAGTTATCACAGGGACGAATGACTGGCAAGGTCAAACTGACATAAATAGCTCAAGGTTTGGGCCTGCTGTGCTTATAAAAACTTTAGGTAGTTCAGCTCTCTTAAAGATAGACCATGGGCTGTGATACCCTTTCAATCACAGAAATAAGGCTTTGTGGGGAAGTTTCCTTTAAATGCATAAGTATGATCACTTCTTTTGGGCAAACAAGAAACTTCCTCTCCTAACAGTGAGAACATTTTCACCTGTCATGTGCCACGCTCATCAAAGATTTTCATCTTCATTTTGTAGATATACAAATATTTCTATATATGCCTATGTTTGCTTAATTTTCCAGAAAAGGGCTCTTCCTACTCGCAGAGGTGTGAAGACTAAAACTAGAGGGGTGTTTGTTTTCAGAAGAGAAATTGTGTTTCCTACTATGTACAAATCTTTAGACCAGAAGATTTATTTTTTTTCAATGAGCAGATTTTTCACACTAGAAATTTACAGCACTGCAAATCTGTGTCTGTGTTCCTGAAGAATGTAGGTGGCTGAGTTGTATGATTGTCTCAAATAATTTGGGCTCAGTATAATGTTCTCTTTCCCACATATGGCAGTTTGTTCTTCCCACTGAGTAATAGGCTCCCTGTTCAATGGAATTGCAATAGATACCATGATTGAACACTATTGAGAAGTAATCAATACTAGGAAAAGAATTTCACATGCAGAGCACAATCCTGAAAACACTCCCAAGCTTATTCAGTGTGTGAGTGTCCTTTTGCATTGCCTTTTGTGAGGTGAAATTATTGTATGATTCAGTGAAAGACACTGGTATTTGTCATTAAAATTATAAAACAAATGTCTAATGAAATGGCAGTCTTATAGAGAATGAAAGTTCAATCCTTAGTGTTGCTATTTCAAAAATGCCTTTGATTTACTTTTGACGGTATTAGACATCTAACATTAAAAAAACCCTTTCCTCTTGTGTTTCCATTTGTCATAATGATGTCCACAACAGACAGAAAGAACCCATATTTCCTCTGTAAAACATTTATAAAAATTCTGGAGTGCCGGACTGAAAAACCATCAGGAAGTCAAAAGTGCCTGCCTTAATCAAGTTACCTTGTGCTTTGTGGAACTGGCAAATACACACAGGGCACTGTATAAGCTGTAACCTTTTCTGCAGATTCAACCATGCAAACCCAAAGGGGAATTAAGCAACTGAAATCCAAATCTAACACCCACAAGCCCCAGGAAGTCACATAAATGAAGTATCAGAGTGATTTTCACAGATAACATTGCCCTTGCCAAGGCAGGGACTGTATTTCAGTTTTAAGCTGGCCAGCATGTGCAGTGGTCTGGAAAACAAGAAATAATATAGTAATATAAGCAAAATGTAAATTCCGAACTCTGGTACCAGCCCTAGGAGGAAATTCAGACAGTGTTGTCAAGAGTTGTCAGCAATGGGTTTCCACAAATGAGAATTTCTGGCCTGTGTCTGTGCTATCTTCCTATCTCACACTGCCTAAGTACTGAAATTTCACCAGTCCTTGCACTGAATGAAGATCAAGTAAGGCAGTCATTTCCATCAGTATACAAGTATGCCTGTATTAAAGACAGAAAATTTTGCCTTCTCTGTTCCTTTCCCATGCATCAGCCAGGAAGACAATGGTAGAAGAGACTACCTTTCCTCAGGAAGATCCTGAATGAAACGAAACATTTCCTTACTGTTTCAAAAACTCATCAAAACAAGCAGGATTTTTGCAGCTTCACAAAGTCCCAATACTCATTCTAGAGTCTGCACTGTCTGTGGATATCTGTTCCTGCCTGGGTTTATACCCTGACTGTACTAAACCAAGAATGACCGTGCTCAGTGAGGTGAAAGCTAGCAATGAAATTTGTGTCCTAAACACAATAGCAATGTGACTTTTCCTGCCTGTTGCTTGTAGCACAGTGAGGATGACAGGAGAGGTGAGACGTTCAAGCTATTTCCAGCTATGGAGACGCATTCTGTGGGATATAAACATGTCTGAACTGCGTGAACTGAGGTGGTGAGCAAGTATTCAGCTCCTGACATCTGCATCAAGGTCCAGAGGCAGTGTCCACACAGTCCCAGACCAAACAATACACTGAAACCGAGCCACAATTTAATAATACCAGCTCTAAACACAAAGGACCAGGCCTAGCTGCAGGCCTGTCGCTGGTGCTGTCCCCAGGGTTCCATACTGGGCCCTGTTGGCTGAAGGGGCAAATGCCTCCTCAGACATTCACTGAGGACACAAGTCTGGGAGCAGTGGCTCCTGAGAGCTGGGCAGCCCTTCAGAGAGACCTGGACAGGCAGGAGAGATGGGTAGAGAGGAACCATCTGAAGTTCAACAAACGCAGAGTCCTGCACCTGGGCAAGAAAAAACCCCAGGCGCCAGCACAGGCCGGGGGTGACCTGTAGGAGCAGCTCTGGGGGCCCTGGGGGACAATGAGCCGTCCCTGAGCCAGCAGTGCCCTGGGATCCTGAGGAGCATCGAGAAGAGCATTCCCAGCAGGTCAGGGACTGATTCTGCCCCTCTGCCCAGCCCTGGGAGACTCCTCTGGGGAGCTGTGTCCAGGTCTGGATCCTCAGCACAGCAGGGAGCTCCTGGAGCAGGGCCTGTGGAGGCTGCACAGCTGAAGGAGGAATCTCCCAAGGAAGATTGAGGGAGCTGGGGCTGTTCAGCCTGGAGAGGAGCCCCAGATGAGAGGTGCCCTCAGCCCTGGGTGTCCCTGGGTGTCCCTGGGAGTCCCTGAGAGTCCCTGGGTGCTCCTGGGTGTCCCTGGCCGTCTCTGTCTGTCCCTGGGTGCAGGGAGGGCTCTGAGCAGGGTCCAGGTTCTGCTCCAGGGCCCAGCAGCAGCACCAGAGGAACGGGCAGGGACTGATGCCAGGAATTCCCCCTGCATAGGAGGCACAACTTCTGCCCTGGGCAGTGCCCAGCCCTGAGCAGAGAGCAGAGAGGCTGTGGAGTCTCCTTCACTGGGGATATTCCAGAGCCTGGACACACTCCTGTGTCCTGTGCCCTGTGCCCTGGGATGGCCTTTCTTGAGTAGGGAGGTGGCACCAGTGACCCACTGTGGCTCCTTCCAGCCTGAGCTATCCTGGCATTCTGTGGCTCTGTGACTTCACTGTTTGAAGAAGGAAGTCCTGCAGGCAGGTAAGAGGAGATCTCTCCACTTTGCTTCTTGGATCCAAGCCCACCATAACCATGACAAGTATTCTCGGAAAACTCACATTTAAAGGGCAGAAAGTGTCTGAATGCTTTTTTCTTCCTGAAATTTGTGCCCCCTTCTTTTATTAGTGAGTATTTTAAGGCTTATCTCTGTACTTTGCTGACTTTGACCTTTCAGTGAGTGATTACATAATTAGTCTTTGAACTTGTATATAATTTCACAGCTTCTCACTTTCCCACAAAAGCACTGGTACTCTGTGGTATTTCCACCTCTTCCTACTTTTGTATGCACATTTGTGCCTTCTCAATACACAACGAATTCAGCCAACACAAACATACTTTATACCAGCTGATTAGGCTTTAGGTTGAGGCTGAGGAAATACTTTGATGCAAACTCCTGATTTCCATCATTTTTTAAATATTTTGTGGGAAAAAAAATTCTTTGTCGGTTTTCCAGTTATGCTTTGTAAAACAAAAGAGAATAGCTTAAACTCCTAAGGTATTCCACTTAAAGCATGTTTTGTCTTGTTGAATAGAGTACAAAATAATTCATAATTATGAATTAAAATAACTCTTAATTGACTTCAGATCAGGTATTCTGACTCAGAGCATTGACATGGGTACTTTATACAGCCTTTTTTGGAAAAGATTTCAGAAGAGATTGTTGTGAATCTTTGTGAAAGAAGGTATATTATATACAGAAACTATGTCCTCATTATTTTTATGGGAAATAAAAGGGTATTTTGATACCCTTGTATACTGAGACAGACTCAAAATCCTGAGCATCCAGAAAGGTGTAACACAGGTATCTGCAAAAAAATGATACACAAAAGGAATGTGAGAAAATAAACTCCCCTCTCTTTTACAACTCATATTTATCTCTTAGATCAAGAACATGTAGCTACAACCCTTCTCAAAAAGGTTTGAGAGGTCGTATAGCAACAGTCAAAAAAAAAAGAGAATTGGTTGAACAGTGCATTATTCACAGGTTGCCCACATCAGGAAAGGTTTTTAAAATTGCTATTCAGGCAAATTTTAACCATATGTACATAACTGAAAGGGGCCACATGGAAAAGGGAAGTTAACTAGGTTTTTTAAAAAATGGTTTTTAGATCTTGCCTAATCGTAGATTCCACAGGACAGGGGTTGTTGTCTTGTCGCTTTGCAGCTCTCATGTCTGCATGCCCTAACAGGGCAACATCCTTTAGACATCACACAGCAGAGTTTTATGTTTCTAGGACAAGAGAAGACATTCTGTTAAATTTCAGACTTAAACACATCTATGTGGTTTACCTTGGGGGGGTTGATTTTATTTTGGTGAAAGAGGGACCACATGGATGATTATTATGTCTTATAAAGTACTACAAATATTGAAAACATATCAAAGATGAAAGACTTGATGATCAAAGTTGGGACATTTTGCACCAGAAACTCTTTTCTATGAGTATCTTATACCATGCTGTCTTTGGAAACATCTATTAGACCCATCAAGAGTGGCATGAGTGGGTAAAAAGGAAGGCATCCTGTGACAGGACGTGTGGGAATGGTTCAGTCCTGTACATTTTTAGAACAAAAAGTCTAAATTGCTATTAGCTATTTAAACTTTTTGAGCCATTTTCAGAGAAATCTAGTTTTGCATTTGTCTCAGAATTATTCACATCTAAGAGAGCAGGAGTTGACGATCATTAATAAAAGTGTATGTGCACAATTAATAAGATAACGAGATAAATATTTTGTTGTGTTTTCTTCTTTTAATCAGACAACATACCTGGTGATAGAAACAGAACAAAAGAGACAGAAGGACTGAGTTGGAATAATAAATCCCACAAGTGCTTATTGCTTTGTCTCTGGATGTTTCCTCGTGCTTTTCCTCTTATTAAGAAGGGTATTTCTATTTTTATGAATAGCCTATAAAACTCATGGCATGTACTGGATTTCTGTACAAGGGAAAAATAGCATTTTGTATTTTCTAGCCTATGCCAATGAAAATTCTTTGACATTGGTCACTAAAACCTTAGTTAAGATACATGTGGCTTGCCTTTGTGCAAGAAAACAGTTTCTGATTTATGGGTTTTGGAAGGTTTATTTTTTATTTTTTATTTTTTTTTGTTGTAATTGCTCCATTTTAAATATGTTTACTTAAAAAATCATAAGCTTTTACTGCCAAAATGGCAAATTCTGTATTTTATTACTATAATAACCCACATTTTCAGACTTGGGGCCTCAAGTAGCTTTTAAGGTATGCAACAATTTTTGATGTGCTGAACCAACTGATACTTTGATTTATCTGGCTTTTCTCATCATTATAGATCTTAAATAAAGACACTTAATTAAGTCTTAAAATATAGAATAAAGAATCTAAGAATAAACACAATTGTCCTTCAAGAGGTCTGGCTCAGGAACAGATTTACATCAGTCAGTACTTGTAGATTTAATTCCAAAAGCATTGTATGGTTGAAATGTAAGTAATGAGAATTTTCAAAGTACCTTTCATTCCAGTTAACATCAGAAGGAGATTTTTTTCCTTTTTTTGTAGCTTGGCCTTTTGAACCAAAAAGAACTCTCAGATATTCTCTGTTGCTTCACTGATTCCAGTGCCTATTCCTCTGTCCCATGTGTGTCTCTGTCATTAAGTTATTTATTAATTCCTGTGTCAGAACTCAGGAATAAATTGTGTTTGTGAGAAGTAAGGCAAGTCAAAGATATCTGTGGAATGGCTGCAATGACTGTGTGTTATTTGCAGTATATGGTTTACCACTCCATATTTCCATGCTCTGGGGGATCTCAAGCTATGTGGAAGCTCATTTGCCACCACAGCTGGTTTTGGTTTTTTTATTACTGTTTCCTGTTTACTGTGCTATATATAGAACATTTGATACATGAACATTTCCTGTTCTGTTAACAATTCATACTAATTTAACATTCCTTTATGAGCACACATGTTGAAACCTGGGCTTCAGTTCAGCAAGGTATTTGAATGCATGTCTCAGTCTGGGAATCAAATAACCTCAGAGCTGAGCTACATTAATTAATCAAGACAGATAGAAAGCATATAGGGAGACTATAAATATGAGAATATCCTTTAAATAAAAGAAAGATTAGGTTTTTATTGGAAGCTACTGCACCTCATGGCAGTTTCTTTAGATTGTTGGCAGTCATTCAAAGTCTTTAAGAGCCAGCGAATTTTCAGTAATGGAATTTTACTTTGGAACACTTTACCTTAAATTAGCCATATCCCTATCAATAACAGTAAGCAATCTGCAGGCAGGACTCCAGACTCTTTGGCATATTTGAGAGCTACGTGCAATGCCTTCTTCTCACTTGCTATTGCTCTCTTGTGGTTGTTCCTATTCTGCATTGACTCGAACAAGTGAGGCGGAACATTCTTATTTCATTAGCAGCAAATGGCCTGCAGGCAAAGTTCAAGCTGTAGCTTTAATGTACACAAAATGTGTGTGAAGGTCTTCAAAAGCTCCTTATCTAAGTCCTACTTTTTTACCTTATTTGTGATATATATATAAAATTAAAAAAAAATAAAAATTTATGGATATATGTCTTGTGGTAGATAGCTAAAACAGAAGGTATATGAAAGTATTCCTGCATAAATCCCACACATTGGTAATATAGCATAGGTAGGTGTGTGTATAGCTATATAATTTTTTATCTCTAATGGATTTGGAATCAATGTACAGAATTCTCATTTTCAAGCAACATCCAGTGCTAACTTGCAGAGTCCAAATATATGGGATTATATGAAACTATGTTACATTACAGAAAAGGATTTAAGATGCACTTTGGTAAAGTGAGTGCCTCATCAGGGGGCAATTTTCTGAGAAAGGCATTGTCCATTTAATCACTTTATATAGGCTTAGGATGGAGACAAATCAATATTAAGACCTCCATTAAAGATTCACTAAACCTGTGCTTAATTTTAAGCAAATAAACATGTCCTAAATGAATTTGTAGCTGGTAACAAAGTACCTACAAGTTACAAGCTACCTATGCTGATATTTTTTTTAATTTTTTTTGGTGATGATCTTAAAAGATATAATTAGCTCTTTACCAAGTTCCTTCAGCTTTTTCATGACCTCTTACCCATGTTAAAATACTGTGCTTTTTTGACTCTAGAACACATCTAGCTGGAAACATTGCTCCAAATTTCTCCACATTTTTGCTCCCAGTGTTCAAAGGACAACATTTTAAATGAAAACCTGTGTTGTATTCAGACACTTCTATTTTATGAAGATATTTAAGTTACTTTGTGGACCTCTGAACATGGTTTTTCTAGAAAGAAAGGAGAAATTGCAGTGGGCCTAAATCTACTCCACGTTATGCTGGGGAAGATTGACTAGAGTGTTTTCAGAGTAGTTTAAAGCCCCCCCCTGCATGTATCATGGTTTCTATGGAGGTGAAACTAGAGCCATATTAAAATAATATCTGTGACTTCCCCAAATGGCTCATACAACCTGAGGCTGCTCATTATTTCACCTTACGTGGTCTGTTAATATGAGCTTGTATTAACAGCAAGCAAACAGAAATCTCTTCTTTTTTTCTCTCTGCTTTCTTCCTTATTACTGAAGCTGGGGTTTATTTTTAACTTTATATAAAAATAAATTTATCTTTCATGTTTACAGATTGATCACCTAGAACAGGGGTGTGTGGTAGCCCATTCCCAGAAAGCATGGAGGGACTTCTGGAATGCCTTATGGATAAAATCTTGTTCATGTTTGTGTCTTCCTCACATAAATCAGGGAGCCTACCCACCCCTCCATATCAAAAGGTCACTGTCAAAAAGAAAAGCAAGGAATCTCCTCTGGAATTGTGAAAAGCATCCTGAAAGGCTGAAGTGAGTGATGAAATTAGCACCTGGTAACTGTGACTGTTTCTCTCAAAATTGCATCTTTCTGTTTTAATTAAATGCTTTTGCTTTCTTCTCCCTCATACTCATTTTCTTTCCCTATTTAATTTGTTGTCTTCTCCCACAGGGGAAGTAATATTTGTATGTTACATTCTGGGGTCTGAGGTGACTTCTGTGGCAGTTCAGCCTCATTTCAACTTCTGCTAGATTTCTGTATGTGTGCTAATCATGATAAATTGGTACAGAAGCCAAAATAAATTGTACTCAGTGCAGTAACTCATTCCAAACAATATCCAGTCTTCTTTATGGATTTATACCTAGAATTAATCATATTTCCATTGTTTCATCAAAATGATATAAACATTAGGGTTTGAGGGAGAGAGAAAACGATGATTTCTTTATATTTTGTTTCCTTTGATAAAAATACTAACAGGAGTATTTCTCCCTGCTCCCCTGCAGGGGATTCTTATTGAGTGTCAGTTTTGAAGTCTGCCATGGATTTCATGAATTTATGACTTGAATTCATCACTTGAAAGACTACTTTGACAGCAGCTGTAAATGTCACCACGTGACTTGAATAGACAGTTCTTAAGGCTGGAGGAACATGAGGAATGTGGCTTTTAAACATTTTGAAAGAATTCAACACTTATTTCTCATGTTAGTGCATCTCAATAAATATTGTCAAGTCAGCCACAAACAGTGGATGAGCAAGATCTGAGGTCACACAAAATTAGTTATAACTAAGGAAAACAAAGTGTTTTTTCCTAAAATGTGGAGTGTTTAATAAGTTAGATCACATCAGTCATAAATCTCCAGAAGAAGCTTGAAAATGGTTGTAGGGATGGTTTAGGGTACATGTCCTAATTAGAAATGAAGCTCCATGTTCTTCAACATCCACAAAAAAATATTGATTTTTATCAGTGTTCAAGTTCTATGTAAATCCACTTACTTTAAGCCACAAGAAAATAAAAGCAATTTAATTTTGTAACACTATTTATATGTTTTTAGAACAGGCCTGGGATTTTTAGGTTTGTTAATATATCTTTGCTTATAATGAATTCTATAACCAAGGAAAAAATCCCCAAAGAAAATCCCATGATGAACCCAATGAAAAAAATTTTCCCAGCAAGTGAATAATTAATTTATATTGTATTTAGAAATTCCATTTCCATCCTTTCAGGACAAAAAGCAAAAAGTAATTGGGCTGCTTCTGCCTGAGCCTGTTGTTGGTAAAAGACAGGGATCTTGGAAGTTCAGTAAAATAACTCTGTAGGAAAGTACTTAATGAAATGCTAATTAGGCATTTAACTTCTATGCAATCTGTACACTTTTACATGATTTTTCACTATCCCACATACTTGCCAGAATCAACGACAAGATCTAAAGCAAAACTGGAACTGATTTATTTATTTACCATGTTACATCATTTTGGGGATAGTCATAAACCACTGGAACAAATTGTTCAGAAAAATTGAATTGTCCATTGACTGGAGTCTTTGGATCCAGGCCAGATGCCATTCTGGGAAAAAACTGTTATCCAAAAAGAAGATATCAATCCTAAATCAGGTAGAGCTTGAGTGCTTGTTTCTGAGTTGTATTAAACAAGCGTTGGATATGCTGATCTCACAGTCTCCTTGGATTTAATAATCTAAACCCCAGGATTAATTTACTCTCATCTAGATGTCAACACTGCAGAATTCCATTCTGAAGATGGTTGTCCAGGATTCCTTTATAACTTGGGAAATGAATAAACACCTCTAGGTCATGATTCATCTCACCCTAATGTAGACATCTGAAACGATGCTTGCTTTTCTCTACCAAGGAGTCTAGACAGGTTATATACCATAAATGGTATATTATATACACCTGAACTGAGACAAAATGAAATGGAACCATAAATCCAGATGTCTTGTCTGTACAGCATATGTGCTTTACACACACATTATAGTATATATACAACTTATATCTACACATATCTATATATTTAAATATCTATTTAGATATAGATATATATGAAGTGAGTGTGTGTGTGTATTTCTCCTGGTGTTTCCAGGAAAAGCAGGCAGTTTCCAGGCCAGTGGAATCCTTGTGAAAAACTGTGGTCACCAAAAATCCTGCAAAACTGACCTGGGACTTTGGGTGAAGGGAGGTTTTCATCCTTTGCCCTGGATGCTAGATGGCAGCATTGCACTTCCTAAACACCTTCGTTGAACATGGGGACAATTACAGCACTCTGAAGATCTGAAGAGCAAAATGCTGTCAGTAATGAAAGTTCAGATAGCCTAAATAGACATATAATTAAAATATTATGTTTGTAAAGGGGTTGCCTGGAACAGAAGGTGCATTGTACTTCCTTCTTTCCTGCTAACGTAACAGCTGAGATGAGCATTGCTCCTATTTTATATTTGCATTATTAGTCTTCAGCAGTAGGCCCCTGATATGTCACTTTCTTGTGATTTATAGCACTCAGAAGGAGCAGTGCTTTTATCACAGCTGAACAAGGCAGCCTTGGTTGCCTCAGTTCAGGTATTAGTGGATGAGCATCCACCTCACAGAGCTCTTGATGCAGAAAATTGACTTCATTGATCAAACTGACCCTGAAAAAGAACCTGAGTTCTGCAGTGGGCCTGGCTTGCCTAATCCCCAAGGGATGGGGCTCAGGCAGTCATGGCACCCTCTACCTTTGGTTTCCAAACTTCAATGGCAAGCAGTGGTGGAAAAGGAGAACTCAAGCAAAAGAAAAAAGATTTTGGCATAGTTGGGAGTAGAAAAAATAGCTGGTTGATAGCTTGGGGGTAGGCAACTCAGCATGAGGGGATTCTCCAGCTGGAGACTGGTGTTAAGTGATAGTTTTGGACCCTGATCCCAGCCCCAGGCACTGGGAAGTTGCACATCTGCCTAAACTAGCAAAAGGGAGAGTTCAAAAGGAGCTGAGAGATGCCAAGATGGTAGGAAATCAATGCAAGATCAAAGTCTCAAAATGGATGGAGGCTGAATTGGTTGCTTTGAAAGAAGATGAAGTGGGGGCATTCCTTTATGTATCGGTCAGATTTTATTGCAGCATTCTGGCGGGGATGTATTCTGACAGGAGGCTGAGAGGTGAACCATCCGTGTCCTGCAGAGAACAGAAGTTCTCTTGCTGAAGCACAAGGAGGTGTGCCTGGGATGGTGATGTCAGGAGGATGTGGAAACAGAAACAGTAATCAGGCTTAGCAATCTGATTTCCATGGGAAGTGTGGCTCCTCTGAATGTCCAGTGGAAAAATATGAGGGGAATCATAACTCCTTTAGGTTAAAAAACAAGATTAACTGATTCTACGCCATCTTGGGAGCTTTTATTCTGTGTATGCAATGACTTAATTTGTGCTGTAGGGTTTTTCCAAGGCTTTATTGTCTTGTGGCAATATACACAGGTAAACAAAGAATTCAGCTGCAAGTAATGGTCAAATAAAATAGGAAAACTTACCTGAGTACAGGCTATTTTTGTAAGAACAATAATGTAAAATCAGGCCTAAATGTCAAATATGTTCTAGAGCTCAGTCATCCACTGTGACTACTACAAAGACAGTGATTTCATGTTATTAAAGTCAGACTCTAATCCTGTGACTGAAGTGATGTTTCTCTACCCAGCTCTGGTATAAATTATTAGGGAATTAAACCTGTTACCTGACTGTAAAATTGATATTCTGTTTGTCATCAGGTTTAGCATCAAATAAGACTTGATCAGTTTTTTTTTACAGTCGTTGCACTAGGTTTATAAGGCAAAACTGCATTTAAGTCTTTTGCAGATCCCACTTTTGGAATGGTTTAATCTGTGATGGCGTCAAGTGATTAAATTGGGAATACATTGTTTGGTCTGGCTTTATTTTAGCTTTCCTTTTTCCCTCACCATGGAATATTTTGACATTTGTTGAAATTCCCCAACTTCCAACTTTCCATTTGGAAGTTAATTGAAGCTACATAGTTTATTTTCAGTAGAAACTGAATTTATATATGTCAGACTGATGTTTCAGGGCTGCTCTGATGCCTTCTTGTACTTACCCTTCTGATAACCTCCTCTCTCACTCTTCATTTGAGCAAAACCATGCTGAAGTCTCTGTAGATTCTGGGATTCATGTCCTTCCTGGGGATGGATGTGTTGTAGGGATCATAGAATAGAATTCCAGAATGGTTTGAGTTGGAAAGGACCTTAGAAATTTGTTCTACCCCCTGCCGTGGGCAGGGACACCTTCCACCATCCCAGGTTGCTACAAGTCACATCCAGCCTGGCCTTGGCCACCTCCAGGGATTCACAGCTTCTCTGGGTAACCTGTGTCAGGGCCACACTCAGAGTGAAGAATTTCTTTCTAAATGAATACTATGTGGTTTCTTTCAAGGCACTGAGGGACAGCTATGATCACTGAAAACTCCATTTAAAACACCCAGATTTTTCCTTTAAATCAGACCTGAATCTGTCACATGGTTAATATTCATTAATCCTCCAACACAGGCCCTGAAATAGATATGTCTCTAGTGTGGCTCATGCATTTCTAATGAAGTCCAAACATACAGCAATTTTCTCTTTGGTTCTATGCAGGAAGAATATCAGGAAACACATTTTTATTTTGAGTTTGACCCAGCACTGACACAGGTTGCTGAAGGACATTGTGGAGTCTCTCTCCTTGGAGATATTAGAAAGCTGTCTGGACATGGTCACGGGCAGCCTGGTCTAGGTGACTCTGTTTGAGCAGGACAGCCAGAAAGAATGACTCCAGAGGTCCCTTTGAACCAGAGCCAATCCCTTATCCTATGTAAGGGTAGTTCAAGGAGGGCAAAGCCAAAGCTGTGCACTCAAGGAAAGCAAAGCAACAAATTCAGCACTTCATCACCAATCCAAAACACAGCCCCATACCCCATCCAAAACACATTCCCATACTTGGGAAGTAAACTGACTCTAGCCCAGACAAAACCAACACAAAGGGATAATGGGAAACATTTTATAAATTCATT